GTGCGCCCCACGTCAGCGTACGTCAGCACTGACCGGACGCACCCAGCCAGCGTCCGATCATTTTAGCGCCAGCGTCCGGTCGAAGATCAAGACCTCGCGCTTACTGCTGCTACTGACCGGACGCGCCGGTCTAACCGAGGCCAGCGTCCGGTCACTTCTAGTGACCTCCGTCTTTTCTGTCTAGGGCGCCGGTGGAGTTTCTTACCCTTGCTCCCAAACTTCACCACCCTTGATCAAATATGCCAACCACCAAGTGTATCACCTTGTGCACATGTGTTAGCATATTTTCACAAATATTTTCAAGGGTGTTAGTACTCCACTAGATCCTAAATGCATATGCAATGAGTTAGAGCATCTAGTGGCACTTTGATAACCGCATTCTGATACGAGTTTCACCCCTCTTAATAGTACGGCTATCGATCCTAAATGTGATCATACTCACTAAGTGTCTTGGTCACCAAAATAAAATGGCTCCTACAATTTATATCTTTGTCTTGAGCCTTTTGTTTTTCTCTTTCTTCTTTCCAAGTCCGAGCACTTGATCATCACCATGACATCACCATCATCATGTTATGATCTTCATTTGCTTCACCACTTGGAGTGTGCTACCTATATCATGATCACTTGATAAACTAGGTTAGCACTTAGGGTTTCATCAATTCACCAAAACCAAACTAGAGCTTTCATCTACTTACCACCCCAAAAAGTTTGCAACATATAGCCAATCCTATTACTTCAAGGCACTCTAGGAAAGGTAAATGTGGACAATAACAAGAGTAAATGAGGATGTTTAAATGTGCTAAGTAAAGGTGAGAAAGAAGAGAACAAACTCACAAAGACGCAAGGATGTACGCCCTAGTGTCGGTGGGCAAACCCCCACCCCTAGTCCGCAGTGCTCCAATGAGAATTTGTGCCTAATCACATAGCTTAATTCCTCCAGTCAATTTCTCAGGCTCACCAGGGCTCCTCTCAAGAAAGGAATGAAGTGTCAGCCACCCACCTAAGCTTGCCTCGAACTACCCTTCTCTTCCAATCGCCTTGCCACCATCCACTGTGAAGCTTTTCCACTAATGAAGGGTCTTCTCATCCCTAAACAGGATGTCACCACCACTCCACACCAACCTAGAGGGTTGTCCACAATGCTGGTGAGCCACTCAAGGCACCAAGGTCCCGACAGCCTGAGATTATATCGAGAACTTAGTTCTTATTCTCTCTCAAAGCCCAATCAGACTCTATTCTCACTCTATGCACGTGGCATGGATCTCTCTTACATGTCGATGTAATCTTATATATACTAGTCTGTTGCCAGCTCGATTAATACAGTGGTTCGCTCTGTTAGAGATATGTGTGTGTGCTTGTATATTCCCACTTGTATAGGGATTCATTTGCATATTATACATGTACATATTGGGGCTTCCCCTTTCTCTCAATACAGAGTTCACTTTCCTAACACGCTCTACGCATCACCACAAATCAACTAGTGTGTGATTTCCTAAAACTATCTATTGCAACCTTGGGCCTACGTGCACTGTTCAATACTCGGTGCACATCCTAATTACCAAACCTTCAAGTGAGCTTTTCAGCCATGTGTCCACCTAGCACTAGAGGCACTGTGTAATACTCTGGTACACTGAAGGTTCAACCACTGTTATCATTCGAATCAATGATGTTCTTCAACCCCAACTTTGGTTTGTGCACTTTTTTTATCACCGGATCATACAGTGTGACTTCTTCTCTAATCAACCACTATGTAAGGTCATTGTGTGCAATAGTCTATTGTATTGATTTCTTTTTATCATTGAACCTTACATGTTGTCTTCTTATTTGTTCTTGATTGTTTAACTTCTATACTCCAATTCGTGCAAATCTTAGGTCATCGGACCTTCTAATGCTTGCATTTCACACTAACATGGGGTGATTTTTCTCATTTCTTTGTCTGATGCTTGCATCATTTTTACACCTTGCATTTCACCTTGATGCATCATAGACATCGACTTACAATCTATGCCAAACAAAAGCAGATATTATCTCTTGTGATCGTTAACATCCCACTATGTAGATTTCTATAGATGGGAATTATTTTGCAACTTCACATTTTCCAAAGTTACAATGACAAAACAACTAGCAAGATGTGCACTTAAGATTTATCTAGTGTTCCCTACTTATCGAACCCATAAAGAGTTTTGTGACCTCAAATGATTAATGTTTCAACAAGACCTCAAATGTTTGAATCAACCTAGGCGCGTCCTTTTCAAATCTTGAGGAATGGATGGTTTGGAAAATAAATAAACTAGAAAGATACCTTTTTTGCGTCGTAAGAAGAATTATATTAGATCAATACGTTACAAGCACTCTGGATTACACAAATATCCAAAAACTGATTTTCATCTAAATAGTACCCTCGTTGTGAATAGCTCCATATCTAAAAACCAAACTTATATGACGCTTTTCAATATGGATGACCGCACAGAGCAAACCCTCGGCAAAAGGCCTAAGAACAATGCCCAACGAATGACGATCAACATTCATGTAGACAGAGTTGAGAAACTTCTTTCTGATGTCTTCCTTCTTCTTCTTTCTGCCACCGAAGAATGAGGAAGACCGATCTGAAAGTTATTCTCTCTAGTCCTTCATCGTGGCCAGATCTAACCACGATAAAATGAAGAAGAGGCCGGAGAAAATTATTCCATGGCGGCGACACCATCTTCGCCTTGATGTCACCGTCCGAAAATAAAAATCTACATGTCATGCCGGTGAGGATGCTGACGTCGTAGTTGTAGCCCTCATCTTCAACAGAGCCACCATGAAGAAAATGATTCCACCTTGCCCTCTCGTCGTTGTCGGATAGGAGGAGGAGATAAATCCCCAAAACCAAGAAACTTGGCATGGAGAGACCCTAACCCTAAGGACTCGATCTACTAGAAAAACTTATTAAAAATGATGGATCCACACTCCCTCCGGTCTTCGGCGATATGCAGGAGGGGGAGGGAGGGGGACCAGCTATGGTGGAGGTGGCGGCGGCGGCGGCTATGGTGGGCGGCACTCCGAGTCACGAGCTCTAGGTCATGATGCGGAGCCCGGTAATGTCGCAACTAGAAAGATACCCTGCGCATTGTTGTAGGACTTTCTTAGAAATATTGCATGTGTGAGTTAAACATGCATGTCGTCACATACATTCTTATCAAATTGGACAAGGCAATGGATGAATTCAATAAATAAAGAAACTAGCAGAACTAGATCGAATTATAAGACAATGAAATGGCAAAACAAATAACAATATATGGATGACTTCTATATTTCTTACGCTTCATGGAGATGAGATAGCTTGTATTAAGAGGTTGCAAGTTAGTGGGATGACATAACTATTAGTGGGAGATGATGTGGATAGCTTACATGTTAAGATAGAACTTGTAGTGGTTACAATGACAAAAAAAACTAGCAAGATGTGCACTTAAGATTTATCTAGTGTTTCCTACTTATTGAACCCATAAAAAGTTTTGTGACATCAAACCATTAATGTTTCAAGAAGACCTCAAATGTTTGAATCAACCTAGGCGCATCCTTTTCCTAATCTTGAGCAATAGCTTGGAAAATAAATAAACTAGAAAAAGACCTTGTGCGTTGTTGTGGGACTTTCTTAGAAATATTGCATGTGTGAGTTAAACCTGTATGTTATCACATACATTCTTATCAAAATTGGACAAGGCAATGGATGAATCCAATAAAGAAACTAGCAGAACTAGATTGAATTATAAAACGATGAAATGGCAAAACAAATAACAATATATGGATGTCTTATATATTTCTTACGTTTCGTGGAGATGACATAGATAGCTTGTATCCAGAGGTTGAGAATTAGTGTGATGACATCACTATTAGTAGTGAGAGATGATGTGGATAGCTTATATGTTGAGATAGAACTTGTAGTGGAGATTAGATTTATTAGAGATATATAGATATGCAAATTTCTAGAGACAAATGTCTTATTTGCTTTTGGCCTTATCTGCTCCATATTATTTTATTCCAATTGATTCAGTATCATTTATTTTTATCTCTTCAACACGGTCTAATTCACATATGAAATAGTAGTACTTCATCCGTTTCAAATTATAAGATATATTGTTTTTGTTATGTATTTAGATATAATGTATATCTAGATGTATAATAAATGTTACTCCCTCTCTCTCAAAATAGAAGTCATTCTCGCTGCCCGAGAAGTTAGCTTTTTTTTTTAAACTTTGATCAATTATATATAAAAGAATATTAATATTTATAATACATAATTAATATCATTAGAAAGATCGTTGAATATATTTGGAGATATAAATGTTGCATATTTTTATACCAACTTAGTCAAAGTTAAGAAAGTTTGATCTTCACATATCCCATAATAACTTCTATTATGGGACGGAGGTAGTATATATTCGGAGAAAAGTCAAATGTCTTGTAAGTTGAAACTAAAGGAGTACTATTAACGCGCTGGCAGCAGCACATTCGATCATCGCGGGGGGAGGAAAAGGGCAAAATGGCACTCCAAAACGCCGCCCACCCCGGTGACCACCCACCCTGGTGACCGATGATGCATGTGGCCTGCTTTGTGGCATGGTCCATAGCAGTCCACTACCAGTCTACCACACCCAGCCGAGCAGCCCATATATAGCAACATGTCAACTTTGCTCCGGCATCCACACCCCTGCAAGTGAGCATTTCCTCCCTCGGCCGGGGCGGGGCTCATCCGTTCACGGGGACGGGATGGATGTCTTCTTCCTCTAACCGGCCTCTTGCCAGAGAATCATATCGCCGTCCATGCATATATGTGATCCGTCTCCCAGGGCCGGTGATGTTTACAGGAGAGGAGGAATTCTAGCCTGCCTCTTCCTCTGATCGTTGTCACGCCCACTGCAAGATTCTCCGTCCAACCGCCAGAACCAAAATCCCTTTTAAAGCTAGGGAGCTCCCAGCTCCCGAGTTTCCCCAAACACTTCATTCAGCCTTCAGCGATGGAGGCATCGGCAGCGGTCGAGTCGTCGGCGACCGTGTCCGTCTTCGAGGTATCATCCAACAAGCAGCGGCCAGACACGGCGAAGCTTGTGCTGAACAGCCCCAGCCCGCCGAGCCTGCGCGAGGAGCTCGTCGGCGTGGTCGGCAAGGCGTTCCGGCCACGGCCCCCCGGCGGCGGTGGCCGGGCGCCGCGTTGCCCGTGGATCCTCACGGCGCTGCAGTGCGTGTTCCCGGTGCTGCAGTGGGGGAGGACCTACACCCTCAAGTCCTTCAGGAGTGACGTCATGGCCGGCCTCACTCTTGCCAGCCTTGGCATCCCTCAGGTAGGCTGCTGGTCATGCCACACGCTTGCTTGCTCAATTCACGCGTCAGTTTTAGCTCTAGTTCCTCTCAAACACACGTCTTTACTTGTTGAGTAGTGATCTCAGCAAGAAATAACAATCAAGCTAGGTAGGTAGCTAGACGACTACTTGAATTCAGGACGTCTTGAGGTGACAACTAACAAGTGTTTCTTGCACTAAATCTCTACAACAATGAATCCTGAGACAAAACATCAGTTACTAGTTGGACTTGTGAGGAACCACCACATACTTCAAGAATCATCAGCCTGTTCGTTTCGGATGAATTGGCTTATAAGTCATGACTGTGTCGGCTGGTTTGACGTAAGAGAAAAATATTATTCAAGCCGTGGATTATAAGCCAGATACGAACAAATAAGCTGAAACGAACACGCTGCGTATACAGATTTTGCCTTGGAATTTTCGGGTGTGCGTGTAGAGTTTTTACCCTTCTCGTCAGAATATTATCTGACCTGTGACTCCTTTGGATCTCTGATATGATACTGTAGAGCATTGGATACGCCAACCTAGCCAAACTGGACCCTCAGTACGGTCTTTGTAAGTATCAATCACAAGCCTCTACTCCATGATTGATTGTTCAGAACAATTTAGCTTGCGCAGAAGCCCACGCCATGTTAATTTCTCCAGATCACTCATTCTTTTGTACTACGACTACCTTTTTCCCTGATGAAAGACACGAGTGTGGTGCCACCGCTGATCTACGCTGTCATGGGGACATCGAGGGAGATCGCCATTGGCCCAGTCGCCGTCGTCTCGCTGCTGCTGTCCTCGATGATCCAGAAGGTCGTCGACCCGGCAGCCGACCCGGCGACCTACAGGTCGCTCGTCTTCACGGTGACTTTCCTCGCCGGGGTCTTCCAGGTCTCCTTCGGCCTCTTCAGGTACGGTCTGCTGCTTAGCAAGCAAGCGTTTTTTTAATTAATTACGTGCAAAACAACATGCTCTGCTCCCACACGTCGAGATGTCTGGTCTTACGACTCTTACCTGCGTGACTGTGTCGGTTCGTCACGTCCCAGGCTGGGTTTTCTCGTGGATTTCCTGTCGCACGCTGCCATCGTGGGGTTCATGGGCGGGGCGGCCATCGTGATCGGGCTGCAGCAGCTCAAGGGGCTGCTTGGACTCAGCCATTTCACCAACAGCACTGATGTTGTTTCTGTCGTCATGGCGGTCTGCTCTGCGCTACATGACCCGGTGAGTAGTACGGAGTCGTCGTCTCTGTCTCTCTCGGCTCGGCGCCACGAAAATGCCGAGCATTTTATTATTATTATTTTTGTGTAAATATAATAAAGGAGCACTAATGTACCCTCATGCATGTCCCACTCCCACAAAGAGAGTCAGTCTCAGAGATAGTGATTAGTCACGGTCATTGCTTGGAACAATAGTACTCCTACTAGTCTTCAACCTCACACTACGGTACAGGAACCCTTATTTTTTGGGGGACGAAGGACATGGCCACTTGTCTGCACACTGTTTAGTGCATTGGAATCCACCCACCTTCATGCCAAATTGTCAACACCGCCATCTTGTGCTTGGCTTTTACTTATGTCCGCTTCTCATGTGGCTCATGTTCTCCGTATCATGTGCGCTTCTCATATGTGGCTCATGTTCTCTGTGTTGTGCATGTCATCCAACTGCAGTGGCACACGGGCAACTTCCTCATCGGATGCTCCTTCCTTGTATTCATCCTCACCACACGGTTCATCGTAAGAAGATTCGATTCAACCACTCCTCTTTGTTACTGGCTCATGATGTATATAGATCGGACGGTAAGTTACTAAACCCACACGATGACAACTCAATTAATGGCAGGGGAGGAGGTACAAGAAGTTGTTCTGGCTGTCAGCGATTTCACCTCTGCTGTCGGTCATCCTGTCCACCGCTGCAGTCTACGCAACAAGGGCCGACAAGCACGGCGTCAAGATCATACAGAAGGTTCATGCAGGCTTAAACCCAAGCTCAGCCAAGCAGATACACCTGAACGGGCCGCACACCACGGAATGTGCCAAGATCGCCGTCATCTGCGCAGTCATCGCCCTTACGGTATCTACTTCCCGGCTGCAGTAAGCCGTCCATCTTGTGTTCCATGCTGAAATCTGAAATGCGGATTGCTGAAAGAGAAAGCTTGCATTGCCTCTCCTAGGAAGCTATCGCCGTTGGCCGATCTTTCGCCTCGGTAAGAGGGTACAAACTTGACGGCAACAAGGAGATGCTGGCGATGGGGTTCTCTAACGTTGCTGGATCTCTGTCCTCGTGTTATGTGGCAACAGGTGATCAATATGATTACTGAGTGATGGCTGTGGCAATCTTTCAGGAAGAAGCAAAATATCCTGACAGATGTTTTTCATTCATCAGGTTCATTCTCCAGAACAGCTGTGAACTTCAGCGCGGGCGCCAGGTCGACTGTTTCTAACATCGTCATGTCCATCACCGTGGTCATCACCTTGGAGTTGTTCATGAAGCTCCTCTACTACACGCCCATGGCGGTGCTCGCCTCCATCATCCTGTCGGCTCTTCCGGGGCTGATCGACATCAAAGAAGCTTGCAACATATGGAAAATCGACAAGATGGATTTCCTCATTTGCCTTGGCGCATTTGTTGGTGTCCTGTTTGGGTCGGTGGAGATCGGACTTGCAGTAGCAGTAAGATGCATGCTTGATACACCTCCATTTGAAAATCACATTCGAAAATTGTCTTTCAGCGTTTTCTGACTTGTGAGGGGGCTGATTGCTGCAGCTTGCCATTTCCTTCGCAAAGATCATCATACAGTCGCTTCGACCTCAGGTAGAGGTTCTTGGCAGGCTCCAAGGGACAAATATATTCTGCAGCATCAGACAATACCCTGTAGCTTGCCAAACTCCGACCGTACTACCGATACGCATGGACACATCCTTCCTCTGTTTCATCAATGCCACTTTCATCAAAGAAAGGTATTAGCAATCTCAATATATAAATATGGGTTTATAAAATGTTCAATACAAATTTTCCAACAAATGTTGTTCAATCAGGATCATAGAGTGGGTTCGGGAAGAACTGGAGAACTCAAATGGAAAAGCGAGAGAAAGGATACAAGCAGTTGTCCTTGATATGTCAAGTAAGTGCCCCCAGAATCTCCAAGATTTTTCAATTTTATAAAAGGAGATGCTTGCTTGACTTTTTTAGTTAATTCAATTTTACATTAGGTGGAATATACACCAATGTAGCTGTGAAACCCATGTTCAGTGCTAATCTGATACAAAAATATGTATGCCCATCTTCCTGTCTTTGCAGGTGTGGTAAACATCGACACTTCAGGTCTCACGGCACTGGAAGAAATACACAAGGAGTTGGTGTCTCTTGGAATACAGGTGAAGTACTGAATTGATCAGGGTACCTTTACGTTTGGGTAAAAAAAAAGACATATAATGCCAAATTGCCCGGTTATAATGCTGAAACAACTACCTGCAGATGGCTATAGCCAGTCCAGGATGGAAGGCGGTTCAGAAGATGAAAGTGTCGCGGGTGGTCGACAGAGTAGAAGATTGGATCTTCGTGACAGTAGGCGAAGCAGTGGAGGCCTGTCTAGCTGCTCATAAGGGCACAGCTCTCGAATGTTGAGCATGCGTTAATTAGTACTATTATTAGTACTGCTAAGGATATTCCCATAAGCGATGCAGCTTTGCATCCTAGTATGAAGGTGTTACCGCAAATGCTGACGAACAGAAACGCATGCTTGCACTTGATGGAGGCGAAGTACCTGTGATATGACTGATTGACTGAAGTGGTCGTGGCGGGAAACAATCCTCTGTGGGAAGGACAATCCTTGAGCTTCACATGTTTGGTGCTATCTTCATGATGTGTACTTGTACTTAGTAATTAAACAAGTTTTTCTTTTACTGTTTCTTGAAACCTTGACCTAATAAGAACTAAAGGAGATTAAAAAGATACAGTTGCGCGTTTTTGAAACCTAAGAAACAGAGAAGAAGAAAAGAGAGGACTGAGGAGGAGCGGGGCGTACAGGCATGCGGCCGGTCCGACGGCGGCGGCCTCGACGTCGGAGGAGGGCGCAAACTGAACCAACCGGCCGTTGCCCTCGGCCGTGCCGCCCGTGCGGGCCTTTTAGGTCATGAATGGCCCAACAATATATAATAGGCCAGCCTGGTGGGCTTTACCATTTTTGCCAGGCCGCTCAACCATTCACACAGGCCCACTTCTTGGCCGCACCCCCAGTCTCGTCGACGACGAGTGCCGTGCCGCGTGACCATTCGTGGTCTTCCCGTTTCCGGTCCCGGTCCTAGCCTCGAGCAGCCAGACACGCGGCCGTCTAAGTGCTATGCACGCCGCCCTTGCATGCCGGCACGGCCGCGAAGATGATGGCTTGTAGGGAGCGATGCGTCGGACGAGAGGGAGGAGGAGCCGAGAAGGGGATGGATGGACGGTGAGGAAGGCAGCGATGGAGCGAAACGCAACTCCCGAGAATAGGGGAGCGAGAGCCCGTGTCGGCCTTGGCTTCAGGTTCGTCCTCGATTTCCTGAGAAACTAGTACGAGCCACGCTCCCCTGCGCGCAAGTGCAGGCAACCACTGTTTGGTCTATGCAGGCAGGCGTTGTAGGTCACAGGCACTGGTGATGTATATGGTCAGGATGCATCGATGCATATATATTTGCATGTTATATAGATACGGCGAGGGCAAGCAAAAGTTGCTAGGTCTGCAAAGATAGAATTTATACGGTAGAAGCAGTGGTGATGTACAGAGGTAGCGAATGACCACGGCAGTGGATATAGACATATAGGATCCACATACTACACATGGCTAGCTATATGATACATATGAGTGTTTGATTTTTTATGGCACCAGATGGTGTGACGAAGTCTGTGGTCGATGATCAGGTAAGGTAGACGGATGAACCTGCTGATTCAATATGCCCACTCGTCACTGAAGGAACACTGCCTTTTTTTCGATGAAGGTTCGTGTGCGGTCTGATGGAATCATATGTTGCTTGCAAATCAGCATAATACACGTTGAGGTGGTTCTTAGGACAAAAGTGTGTAGAGGTGAGGCAAATAGATGGCATTGGTACCTTGTCTTCCTTGAACTTGCTGAATGCACCATCTATGTCCGTGCAACGCTGCTGCAGATCCTTGTGCAGCTGCTGTCTAGAGGCATCTAGATGTGTTATGCCATCTGCATTTACATGTTCGAGCAACTGGTCGTGCATCTCTGTAACTCAAGAGAAAGGAATATACATTTTCCATGCTGAAAATAATATTGGCATGTTTAGATATATTCAAATATTGTATCGACCTACATGATGTACCAACTGTGCAGTAGCTTCCCAGACTAAAAGGAAATACCTTTACCGTAGGAATGTTGTACTTATGACAGTTTTTTCATGAAACCTTTTGATCATTGTAATGCCGCAGCCTCTGATGGACCAAAAAAGTAGGGCTTCCAGCTTTGACAAGGTCATCTCATCTGCAAGACAAGCAAGGAGACGTGCTTTAGATCCACCTAAAACTAATCCAACACCACAAATACGACAGAATGAGATGACATCTTCACTATTAGTTATGTCCAGGCCAGGCATGCATGTGGCTGTTAGGATTGATCTCATCCGACTCAGTCCAACGACTGAGTCGTACCCGTTGACCGTGTCCTGATCGGAGACACATAACCGACCACTGGTCGGCGGGCCCCTGTCACACAACACTATAAGAAGGAGGTGGGGGCCGGGGCGTTAGACACGAGGTTCGACGCTGCCACTAGACTCTACCAAAGAACCCTAGAACCCTAGTAGCCCATCCGTACTTAGTAATTAAACAAGTTTTTCAGGACCTAATAAGAACTAAAGGAGATTAAAAAGATACAGTTGCGCGTTTTTGAAACCTAAGAAACAGGAAGAAGCGGCGGCCTCGACGTCACCAACCGGCCGTTGCCCTCGCCGTGCCGCCCGTGCGGGACTCCATGAACGGCCCAACAATATATAATAGGCCAGCCTGGTGGGCTTTACCATTTTGCCACTCACACAGCCCGCTCTTGGCCGCACCCCCAGTCTCGTCGACGACGACACACGGTCCCGGGCTCGAGCAGCCAGACCACGCACGCCGCCTTGCGTGCGACGCCATGTAGGGAGCGATCGTCAGAATCGCCCTAGGGCGAGGTACATCACTAGGTTTCCCCATCTAAGTCAAGATTATCCCCTGATCTATGTTTTAGAGGTACAATTAGTCTATCAATAGTACCAGAGCCATGGTTGCTAGTGGGTAGATCGAGTGTGGGATAGAAACTTGAAAAGAAATCGAAGAGATAGAGAAGCAGAGGGTTCGATCCGGTTCGGATTGAAACCCTAACCCAAATCTTGGAAGAAGAAGAGATGCAAGAGGGATGTCTAGAGGCAAAACGAACCCTAACCCTAGCCCACGAAGATCAAGAGAAAGGATATCATGGGAAGAAAAAGCGATGCATGTTTAGATATATTCAAATATTTTCGACCAAACCCTAACCGGCCAAACCCAAACCCTAACCCTAATACCTAACCCTAGCAGCGAGGACAGAAGGGGAGGAGCCTACCTGGGGTTTTCCTTGCCGCCGCCAAGACGGAAGATGACATCGCTATTAGTTATGTCCAGGAGGTATGCATGTGGCTGAGAGAGAGAGCCAACCCTGCTGGCTCGGACTCAGAGCACCGCTATAAGAAAGGTGGGGGCCGAGACACGAGGGTTCACGCCGCCAGGCAAGACTCACCTCGGGTGCACGCGGGCATCGGTCCGGAGGCGGCACCTGGCGGCGGCGACCACCCTCCTCTAACGAACTCAGGCGGCCACCATCGCTCGATCTCTACGCTCTCTCCGCCATCTTGCGATCGGTGTGGGAGAAAATTGAAAAGAGAGGAGGGAGGAGACGGATGACCTAGGGTTCGGAGGAGACGACGCCGCGTGGAGTTTTTGTTCGCCCGAGATCACCTAACCTAAGCTAACCCTAGCAATGAGGGCCGCCTACTGGTTTTCGGTTGAAAACAGATGGCACAGATCAACCGAGCCGAGTTTTAGCCCAGGCGGGCGCGAGCACTGGGCACTTTGCCAGCCCAAGCCCATGTTGCGGCCTAGGAGGCACTGCGGGAACGCGCGCGCATAGTTGGGCCAGGTCATTTTGCCGGTTGGGCCGAAGGAGCAGTAATGAATGGAGTCCATTTCCTCTTTTCTATTTTTTTTCTTTTTTCTTTTTCTAGTAAATTGTTATTTTCTAGAAAATGATTAATGGCTCAAAGAAAAATTAGTAAAGAGAATTTTCCTGTGGGTAAAATTCACAAATTATGTTTAAGTTCCGCTGCAAAGTTTAAAGTTTATTATCTTCTAATTAAATTCGAACCAATGGGAGAATTTAATTTGAAGAGCAGTTATATTTAGTAAATCATGATTATGCTTATCCTCTAATTAAATTGGAACCAACAAGAAAATTTAATTAGAGGAGTAGTCCATTTTGTTTAAGAAAGATTATGGTATTGTCATTTTCTGACCAATGTTGATGATGGCAATATTATAATGAATTTAAGTTTGAAGTTTAAATAAGATTATGGTATTGTCATTTTCTGACCAACGTTGATGATGGCAATATTATAATAAATTTAAGTTTGAAGTTTAAATCTCTGATAAATTTTACACCAACGTGATCAATTTTTCAGAGAATAGATAAGGACCAAGAAATGTTCCTCAACTAAAAGAATGTATTTCATTATCAAGTTTCTGCTGCAATGGTGTTGATTATCTTCTAATTAAATTCGAACCAACAGAAGAATTTAATTTTGAAGAGTAGTTATATGGATTTTAAGTTAATTTATGAGTTTTATGCATTAATTCTATTTTCTGCCCAACGGTGATGTAGAATTGATGCATTAGCATATAGTATGTTTTATTTTTAATCGACGAGATCACTCGACTGTATGCCAACGGGCTGCAATACTAGGGTATGTGAATGAAAAGGCTTGAGTCAAGCCAGTTCATGACAATTTATGTTAGTTTAATAATTTTCTGATTAAATTGAAACCAACAGGAAGATTTAATTAGAAAATAAAGTATAAGTGAATGTTTTAGTCGTCATAACTAAGTTTTATGTAGATCTATCCCGCATGGGAGAAGTTTTGGCATAATACTTATGCTAGTCAATCATGCATGGCGGGAGAAGTTTTGTGATGATTCACATGTTTTGTATCCCGCACAGCGAGAGAAGTTTGGGTAGCTATTATGTTGTCCGAGCATTGACCGTGGCACAATAGAAATGCATCGTCATGATCAATACTAACCAAAAGGATAAGAAAAGATGCAAGTGTGACTTGCAAAAGGTACAGCTAATGATAGACCTCGTTGAGTTCTACAAGTGAAATAAGAAAAGTGTACTCCTAAACGGATCAAGAAATAACTTTGTTTACATGACACAATCATATAAATGAAGTTATAAGTGTCTCCTCGTTCACATGTTTTCTGAATAGTTATCGAAATTATGGCAGTAAAGTTCATGCCATATTTCGAGCGAGAGAATATTAAGATCAATTAAAAAAATACTCTTCATTAAGTGTGAGATAAAGATCCATTAAGAAAGATACTCTTCATTAAGAGTGAGA